ACTCTATAAATAGATCCCTCGTTCTTTATTAAGGGGGTCACCATTCATGGAAGAGAATGGAGAGGAGGAAGAAAGAAGGGATGAATAGAGAAGAAAGGAAGAAGAAAAGAGAGGAAGAGAAATATGAGATTTCTATTACCACCAATCTCCTCCTCGACCATCACCCGACCACCGACCATCACCAGACTTTAGCTAAACCATCAATTGTCATCAAATTTCCATTCATCCATCAACTATCACAAGACTTACACCCAACCATTGACTATCACTAAAATTTTGTCAAGCTTCTTCCAAGCCACCATTTACATTAAATTTCTGATAGGCCACCATCTATTTCCATAGTTATGCCCAGCCATTGACAATTGTTGGACTTTTGTTAGAACACCTACTATCATCAAACTTTATCAAGCACATGCCCGACCATTAATCGTCACCAACTATATCCTTTCTAACCAATATCAAAGACAATGATCCTTTTGGAACTTTGTCACCACATAATGATCCTTCTAACCTCCTTCTCCTACTGAGGATGATCATTCCAACCTCTATCTCAATACTATGGACTTTTTGACTACCATTGCTAGCCAACTATGGTCCTTTTGACCTCTATCATCATATTATGGTTTTTTTTACCTCCATCACCCACCAATTATGGTCCTTCTGACCTCCATTGCCTATGTACTATGGTGGTTTTGACCTCCATTAGTACACTACTAATTTTTCTAACCTCCATCACCAAACTAAAGTCTTTATGACCTTTTTCGCCCATCCTTCTAACCACTTTCACCAGAATATGATCTTTCTAACCTCTTTCACCCACTGACTATGGTCCTTCTAACCACAGTCATTGACTACAATCTTTTTTAACTTTATCGCATGCCAACTATGATCCATCCTACCACTGTCACCTGACTATGGCCTTTTTGTGTTGGGTCTAGTAATTAGGATGTTAAGCCTAAGTGAATGTCCCAAGGCTAACCAAGAGGGGGGGTGAATTGGCAATTTAAAAAATGTAACTTCAACTCTTGGAATTTTAGAAAACCTTTTGAATTAGCAACTTTCCTAACATTTTGAACTCTATCTCTCACTAACTACAGTCCTTGTGACCATCATCACCCAACTACAATATTTTTGACCAACATCGCCCACCGATTATGGTCCTCTTAACCAAACAAACATGTCAAAATGGATTCTTCCAATTCCCACCATGTAACGCACTTTATATGATGTATATTTTCTACATTAAGCCAAGACCTTTGCCATAAGGATGGGCCTCATTTATAATCAAATGCAAACACTAGTGGACTCTTTCAAGCTGGGCCAAGCCTCGTGGTTTTTCCCCATTTTTATAGTTTTTCACATGAAAAATCTGGCGTCTCTTATGAATGCTACACCCCTCTCTCTTATGTGATTGTGTGTTGGATCTTCATTAAAAGCTATTATGTTAAACTTTATATTTCTCCATCGCCGTAAATATTCCATGACACAGTAATACATATATATTAAATAAAATGTGATTAAGTTGTCTATTCTTAAAATGTTTATTTGAAGATATTACTTATGCTTATTGTATATGGTATTTTATAAACTAGATATGATAATATTCATAACAATAATGTATATATATGGGCTTAATTTGTTTTAGGTGAATTTTAATAGTGTATTTAGATTATTGGTAGAATTTAAGCATAGATCTTTACTTTACTTAGTTGTATGGCTCATGTTATAGATTTAACTTTGTTTATGATTTATAGAATGAATTGTTTTCAAAATGTGGGGTAAAGTTTAAGGAAATCCAAGCTAATTCTTTTAAATTTAATGACTTAAGGAAATTATAATGTTGATAATCTCAATTTTAGATTGGAGGAGTGTTGCATTTATTCTAAACCTATGGATTAATTTGAGATGCTTATAATGTTTATCTTTTCATATAAATAGCATCATTTACTTTCATTCCATTAATGAAAATAGGTTATCATGATTTAATTTTCAATTCAAAATAATCCTTCACAAAGAAATGAAGGAATTGTAAGTCTCTATGTAATAGTTCAAATGCTTTTATCACACAATGTGTTTACCTTATTTTTGTATTGAGGTTAGCTTTATTCCCTCATGTTTTATACTTAGCACTTAGGTTTCTTGCACTTGGGTATTACCTTCTTAGGTGAATTCTTAAGGACTTAACTTAGGGTAGAAAGATAAAAACCTTAGTACTTCTCTACATGATCGTTAGGACCTTTAAGTTTGACCAACCCTAGGTTGCCCCTAGATTGGCCCTAGGAGGTTTCCAAACCCTTAGGTAACTCTCCTAGTCCCTTTAAAGTCATTTGGAGTATTATAACCTTCCAAAACTCCACTTGTAAAAGTTAGAGTCAATCCAAAATAAGTAAACCTTTATATGAGTTTGATGGTCCTAATTGTACTAGCTATTGTCCAATAAACCTTGAATAGACTCATAAATCTCTTATAAATCTTATCATACTCCTTAGTGACCCTACATAGATAGTGAACCCCACCAAGCCAAACCAAAAAAACTCTAAAAATCATATGAATGCCCTAAACCCTAAGTTTCATCCAGCATAACGTTTGACCTTATCACTCAACTTGGAGAATTTAAATCTATTTTTGTAGCCACTCTATGGGTCAAGATGCCTTAGTTAAACCCTTAATGAATGTTAACCAAAATATTAAAAAGTTATCATTTTACATGGAACATGACTTGAAACACTCTTAACCCAACTTAGGATGGTCTTTAACAAAGGTTGAGCCATTGCATAGCCATTTTGATAATGATCAAACTAGGTTTATCCAAATTTATAAAATAACACTAAATATATTCCAACTACCTAATCCTAACCCATTATCTTTGGTTATCATTTTAAATGATTCTAATCCATTTCGAAATAATTTAGTACCATTTATAACCCATAGAAAAACCACTTTAGTGAAACTCAGGTTCATGCCTTATCCATGGTCATTCATAATTAACTATGGGTGACCCAAATTCCCAAACTATCCCTTATCCCCTTATTATTTGGTCTCTATGGTTAAACCCATACATTTTCCTTAAGCCTTCAATCTAGGTGTCCATAATACATTCAAGGGTTTATGTGGCTCATCCCTTACCCATGGTTAACCCTCACTAAACACGGGTTAGAGAATATTTTTGAAAATGCCCCTAAGAAAGTGTCTTAGATTTCTTTAGGATAAATATAATAAAATTCCAAACAAACCCAGCAAGCCTCTTGATTAATCTTCGCAGCAAATTGACTTAACTCTTCTAGGTACCCAACCCACTTGGGCTAACCATAGTGTAGCAGCTATTGCGCTAGCATAAAGAGAATAAAGCCTTATTTTAGGATTCATTCTCCATAATATATAACTATTTTCATCCTCCACTACCACCAAAAGATTAATGACCCTCTAATTATTTAATGTTTTGTTTATAATTTTTCATAGCTCACTCACTTGTACATATATTTATCCCAGTAATTTTTAAATGTCAAAAAGGGGAGTCATTTGTATTTTGATGTGTACTTTGCATATAATGATATAACTATTTATATTTGTTTTTATGTTTATATCAACATTTGGTTATTTTTACCTATATTAACAATTTATTTAGTGTATGCGTACTACTTTTTTGTGATTGTACAAATTTTTGTGTACTTTATTTTAGTAAAAAAACTTATATTTTTTATTTTATTTATATTTTTAATTAACTTATTATTATTAGAGGAATAAACATTGCAAAAGATCTATTATTAAAATTTAGAAAAATTGAACGTAATATTTTATCTTAGAAGCTAGTTTATATTTTATATAAGACAATAAAAAATCATTTCCATCAACAAAAAGTGAGACATAGTAAAGCCCCATGACTTTAATAAAATTATTGAGGTTTGTACCATTAAAAATTATTGGTAGTTATATTTTTTAACTAATGGTTTTGTGAGTGCAGTCCTTATAGTTAAACTATCATTTCATGTAAATAAGATATGATGGTCAAATGGTATTGGACATTTAACTTGGATGGCAATCATACGTTGCTATTGGTACACTCATCCTATGTAAAAATAAGGAATCCATTAAGGAAGAAGAAGATTGCAATAGAAAAAATAAATTATGTATTTTTATTTTATTGAGTCATGTTATATATGCTATGTTTATGTCTTATGAAACAATTAATCACATAAAGACACTCACAAGTGAAAAATTAAGTTTATGATTTGCTTTAAAAATAAATGGTTAATTAAAATAACAATTAAATCATTTAATTGATATAATTTTTACATCAAATAAAATCTATGCATTATTTAGGGATTGATGAAGCCCTAAATTATTTTAACCTATTTTTAGGTTACTCCTTTGCCCCCCATCAAGTTTTTGGCGCCGTTGCTGGGAAAGATTTTATTTTATTTGTAATTTTACTATATTGTTTAATCAATCATATAATTAGTCATACTATATCATTTTATTCTTTTATTTGGTTTTATTGATTGAATAATTATTGTTGCATGCTTAGAAGCCATAAAGGAAACCATTGCTGAATTTTAAAAATTGAGAGATCACTTTCTTAAATTAGAACCACCAAAAAGATTTTGAAAATGGCTGACCTTGTTCAAAACTTAGATCATTATAGTTCTCTTCGAGATTTTGAAACCCCTATGATAGATGAAATTCATCATAGCATAAATAGACCTACCATCCAAGCTAATAATTTTGAGTTAAAACCTTCAATCATTCGAATGGTATAGAATTCTCAATTTGGGGAAACTTACATTGAAGATCCTAACATATATTTTACAATTTTTTAGCAATTTATGCAAATTTTTGTATAATGGAGCTAGTGATTATACCATTAGTTTTATATTTTTCCCAATTTCTATAAGAGATAAGAAAAAATGTGGTTAAATTCTTTATCCCCGGGCTCGTTTACCATATTGAATTAATTGGCCCATAAATTTTAAGGAAAGTATTTCCTATCTCATATGGCTGCTAAACTAAGAAATGTTATTACTTCTTTTACTCGATTAGAAGGAAAATATATTATGAGAGATGGGATAGATTAAAGGGGATCCTTAGAAAATATCCTCACCATGTCTTACCTGATTGATTGATAATTCATGCATTTTACAAAGGATTGGTAGGATCCCTTAGAGCCATAATTGATGCTGCAATTAGAGATTCTTTGATGTCAAATCCTTTTGAGGATGCTTATGAATTAATTTAGGAATTGATAATAAATAATTTTTAGTGGCCTTCTGATATGGAAAATCCTAAGCGAGTGGCAGAATTCTATGAAAAGGATTCTTAATTTATTTTGATTGCATAAGTTGCAGCAATATCAAAGAAGTTGAGCACTTTAGGTTAAAACATTGATTCATCTTAATGTATGGAAGATAAAAGCTCAATGGAAGAGAATGAAATCCAAGGGATTAAAAATATTAATTTGATTGGAAGACAAAATAATTCCTATTCAATTATATATAATCCAGGTTGGAGGAATCACCTCAATTTTAGCTAGTTAAATAGTAATGGTAGAAATCAATGTAATTCTAATCAAAATAATGAATGACCAAATTGGAATAATCAAAATCAAGATAATTAAAATCCATGACCTACTTATCCTCTTGGATTTAATCAATACAATCAGTATGGAACTAGAAAGATACCACTAGAAGATGTGATCATGTAATTTGGAACTCAATTACAAAACTAAGCTACTTTAATTAAAAATATGGAAACTAAATTAAGACAGCTTGCTATTTCTTTGAGTAGTAGACTCATAGGATCTTTACCTAGTAATATTGAAATTAATCCTAATGAAAGGAAAGAGATACTAATGGGACTCAATTGAAGAGTATCAATCATCCACCATAGCCAAATAAAAAATTTAGGCAAGTCTAGCTGAACATTATAAACATAGTGCTGCATATAAGGCAACCAAATCTTAAGACTAGAAAGTTATCTAGCCTTACTGAAGACTTAAAACTTAGTGCTTCTGGGAGGCAACCCATGTATGTGTTATGTTAGTATTTGTTATGTTATGAATGTTATGTCATGTTTGTGTTCAACATATATTTTATGCACCTTTTATCATTCTTATGATAGCATATTTTTATAGTATTTGTTTATGTGTTTATTTATATAATAACATATTCTCATCTGGCTTAAATTATTTTTGTCCTCTAATTACTTTTATATTAGTATTATTTAATTAACCTATATAAAAATGATAATTAAAAATTATATAAAATTTGGATAATAATATAACCATACATCCTAGTTTGAATGAACATTGTTTACACCTCATAAGTTAGAAAAACTAATACTTAACTCATTCAATCATTTAAGTTTTTATCCTAATTTGAATTTATAAGTTATACCTTTATAAAATTAACTTTAAAATATGAAAGTAAATGCTTAGTAATAAAAATTAGATATATGTATATTAAATTTTGAAATCATGGCTAACCTGAAGATGGAATTAATAATCTAATGTAATCCTTACATTAAAAATCATTAAGATTATTTGAAGGCCTAAAGTAAAAGTTGATATTAAAAATCATTAATTAAGTACTCTACAAAAGAAAAAGAAAAAGAATTTTAAAATAGTTCTCAAAAGAAAAAAAAAAGAATTAAAAGAAAAAGATGAGTACATTCAAAAATTGGTATCAGTGAAAGCTTAAGATTGGAGATATAATCTTATATAATATATATAAAGGATAAGATGGAAGAAGCTAATACAAGGAATGATGAACGAATGAATGTATAATTATAACAACAACTATTTATAATCATTAAAACTCAATTATTTACTTTAACAATTAAAAGTTAATAATTAAATCTATAACTCATAATTTCAAATTGGGTTGTAACTAGAATGATTAATCACTTTAATTGTTAGTATTTTCCAAACTAGAAGTATATCCTTATTCATTTTTACTAATTCTTGATAGTGATGTATTATCCCATATTTTAGTAATTTTTTTATTTTGGTTAATCACATAATATAAATTATTAAAAAATTATTTTCTTGGGGATAAGCAAGAGTGTAAGTTGGGAGGATTTCATGAGTGTAAATATATTTATGTTTTGTATGTTAAATTTTTAGTGATATCATTTTTTTAGCTAAGTTTGTGCAGGAATAGTTAGAAATTTGCAAAAAATTCAAGTATGGTACAGCGTTGCAACTTTGGACACTACACTAACACGATGCCATCAATGAGACTGCCAGAGCACCTAATATGGACATGGAGGTTCTTAGTCCCTATTTAATAGCACATATCATTGGAGGAGTATGTGTTATAAATCCAATCTCTATCTGTACATTACTACTATGCCAATTTCCAACATCACCAATCCAACAGGAGTGTCGTGTGGACGTCGTAGCACTCAACTGTCAACAGCACTACAGAATTATAGTTATAATTATTCAGGACATGATCACCTAGCAAAGTAATGAGTCTATTAACTAAATAATGGGTCCATATTAGCATGCACTGCAGCGTAGGAAATCCTTCAGCGTGTGGCATTAGTTTATTTTATGTGTGTTGTAATGCAAGTGTCTCGAGCGTTGATACGCCAAAGTTTATTTTTTGTGTCTTTCTATAAATAGTTCATTTTTAAGGTTAGTAGAGGAGTTCAATCACTTATTTAATTTTAGTCTTCATAGTACTTCTCTCTAATTTCCTTTGGAGTGATAACTAAAAGAATTCGGATAGTACTATATCCACAACATAAGAGTGTTTAGTCAATATATATAGAAGCAATTTATAAGTTCAAGGATGAGTGTAGAAGTGATCATTGAATACATCCAGTGGCATTATTTATTTTTTTCTTTTTTTTTTCTTTTGTATAATTAATGAAAATAATTTTGCTTGACTTGTTATTCATATGTAGCAAAATTCTTTAGTTTTGGATTTATAGTGTAAACGAAATGTGTAGCACTAATGAATTCTCTATTATAAAAATTTAATAGTTTTTTTAAATATTCTAAGCCTTCATCTACTACGCATGGTGGTCATATTTGTAGTTAATTTTAGGTGTAATGTAGAGCCTAGGAATAGTAAAGCATGCATAAATAAGTATATTGGATTAGTATGATGCCCATAGGCATAGCGCTTGAGATATTCAAAATTTATAGAGATGAATTATAATGAGGGGCTTCTAAAAATACTTATTTTATCTATTTTTTTTTTTCATAGGGTGATAGACTATGGGAGTTTATAGTAGTATTGAGATTGGAAGGTTTATATATGTCCTTGTCTCTTCATGCTTGACTTGTGTTCTCTGATGCATATGCTATGAATAGCAGTAATATAAAAGAGAATCTTTAGAAAACATATTGTATTTATATTAAGTGAATCAAAATAGTGTTTATTTTAAATTTTCTATTAATTTTAAACTAAGTGATTGAATCTCCACCTAAATTTATTTTTATTGAGTAGGATAATTATTGTTATTATAGTAGACAGTACTAGTATGTAAAAGTAAACATTCTTTCTTGTGGTATTTATACTATACTCTATCAGTATATTACTTAGTTTAGCATGTATACTTGCATATATTAAATGGTGTTTCTTATAACTTTTATATCAAAAAAAAAATCTAAGCATTGTTTAGGGATTGATAAAGCCCTAAATTATTTTCATAATTCTTTAGATAACTCCACCTCACCCATCAGCTTAAGCTCATTTATAGTGCATTGCTAGCTAACCACCTAAGCACATGACATTAAAACAATGAAATTTAAGTTTGGTGCATATAGGTAAGAAAACCATATTTTATATGAGATTCAAGGATACTACTTAAAATTTGAAATCAAAATTTAGTAAGTGAGTCTGGCTTGAATGCAGCTAACTAATGCAATTTTAATGCAAAAGGAACCAAAACTCTAAATTTTATTTTAACTAAATCTAGATTTTCTAAAAATCCTAAGTCCAAGATTTTCTAAGAAAATTTGGCAGCATAACGGCCCTATACCAACAAGAATAATAGACTCGGCCTTAGACTTAATGTGCTATCACTTGCTTTTCATTGGCTTTTGTGGTAGGTAAGTTTACATTATAGAAAGTAAAATGCATATTTATAGGCATAACTAGGTACAGGAGTTTGTGTATATGATTCCACTATAGTATTTTTCTAGAACTAGCATACTTGTTCCTACAAATTTTGAAAATATACACCAAAAAAACATATGGAAAGGCTATCCTTAAATGCAATCTACCACACATATGAATGCAATGCATGTATATGAAATAATGAATTAAAGTAAAGAATCTAAAAGAGAAATTTTATTTTATTTATATATATTATTTATTAAACCTAGGGTCTATAATAAGTAAGGTAGTCAAGCTTCACCACAAAATACTTGGTTTTTTATACCTGTAAATACAAATTTAAATATATTTGCTAATCTTCTAACTCTAGACCTATTATAGAATTCCAAAAGAGAATATCCTCCAAAGGAGAGGGAATTATGTTTTGGAGCCCTATATATATATATATATATATATATATATATATATATACTACATAAGAGAGTACCTTTATAACCACTCATTTATATCTCAGAAGGCACAAGAATTAGAAGACAGTTTTTTTTTTAAATATCTCATGGCATAAATTTCAAAAGTTACATATATTTAAAAATCTCATAAAATGTAAACCTTAGAAGGTATAGAAACTTAATTCTTATCAAGAATATTCACTAAATTCCATTAAATATATCTTTAATTATCTAGAAATCTTAATGTAAAGCATAAGAAGTTGCATATTTTTTATTGATATAAAAATTTTAGAAGGTAAAATTTTAGGAAGGTATATGGTCTTTATTTATCCAAAAATATAAAGGATATAAATTAATTAAAAGCGCCGAAAAGCATGTAATCCTTGTTAAATTCCTTACAAATTAAAATACTAAGATCAATATCTTCCAACTAGGAACTAACTTTCCATTAAATCAAAGATCAAACAATGATATATTTGATTTTTAATAAGATATCATGATTTCATGTACATCGTGAGGGCTTATCATAAATTTAGGCTTCGTTTGGGACAACTTTCTTATTGCTTCTTAAAATAATTTTTTTTAGAATTAA